AAAAGCACAGGCTCTAGAGCCACATGATCCAGGCTCTGACCAGAGCTCTGTCACGTTTTAGCTCTGTGACCTTAGACAAGTTGATCAACTTCTCTGTTCCTTGGTTTCTCTGTGAAACAGCAGCTGAAGCTGGAGAGGAACAGATCCTTTTGATGAGAGCGTCACACTAGCATTGTGCTACCTGAAAATTGTTTTTTGTTGTATTAGGTGATCAATTGCTGGAAGTGGGGTGCATAGCTTTCCCTCTTTTCAACAAGAACCTGTCTCCAAAAACTACCAATTCCCCCATTCCCCACCCCCCCCTTGTGTTCAAGGATGTGTGGTGCTTCTTTAATGTGAAACAATGATTGTGTTTTCTTACCACAATTTGGGGCTAAGGAAACAAACAGAAAAACCTCCCACTGAAACTCGGGTCTAAATGACTGATGCCAGATCCATTTGCAAATGGGGATTTTGATGGAGAAGGGTAGGAGGACCAGTAGAGCAAGTATTGAGACTTGGGCAGTAGAGAGAATGGGAATGCCAAGGCTTCCTGCTTTTGTCAGCCCTCGGAGCTGCAGACCCACAGCGGGGATTGGATTGGTCCTGTTTGTCAGCATCTGTGCTGTGCCTTGCAGATTTGGCAGCAGGCTTCCCAGAAAAGAGGTGTCATTTTTCCTTATTATCACCCCACACCTAGCGCCAACAGACAGGGTGGGTGTGTGAGGTACAGTCAGGGTTCTGTAGTCCTGGGGGAAACTTCAAGCCTGATGTCATACACACGTCAAGGCTACAAGGACCTGGAGAGCTCTGGGTCCAGTTCCACTCAGAGATGAGACGTGCCAAAGGCCACAGGATGAAGAGATTTCTCTGCTTTCCACTAGGTTCCTAAAATCTGGAAAGTGTGTTTCAATGTACTTTCTCTCCATACAAGTATGTACTTGCTTTTGTAAAAAATTACTTAGGGGTAGTTGTAACATTGAAAAAGATACCAACCACCACAATTACTTTTCCTGCCACTCAGAATTGACAACAGTGTACATCTTCTCTCCCCAACTTTGATTCTTCTACGTAAATGAGGTAGGTGATCATATGCTCCTCTTTGCTGAGGCACTCGGTACGGTAAGAGTGACCTAAGTTGTGAACACACAAGCAGTCACACACACATCTGGTTTACAGTCAGAGAAGGCTGGGTCCTCAGCAAAGTGGGTCAGGATACGCTCAATGATGCTGCACGTGGGGGTGCCCCGGACATTTCCCTTCCCACTGAAGCAGGGAGCCCCCTTCTGTGCTAGCGTGTGTAGGACAGCTAGCATTGTTCCTGTGGGCACTTGGTACACTGTCCCCTTTCTCTGAACTCTTGTAGCAATTAGCCTGGATGATGCTTTTGTAGTTTCTGGATAACTACTTCATAATTGCCTTGGGTCATCTGCCGCTATTTCTCACATTTGAATTACATGGTACCTAATAACAGTACCTAATACAGTGCCGGATATGTATCCGTTGACTTGATCTCTTAAGTGATTTGTGACCAATGCTGTTGCGTTCCGACCCTAAGTTCTTCACTTACAGTAAGGGCATCTGTCTCCGGCATTCCTGCTGAAAGGGTAGCAGGGCCTCAGCTTTCTCTGTTGGATCTCTCCTGGCTACCACCCACCGCCTCTGTCCATCAGATGCCATCTTCTAGTCTGGCCTGTTTCTAGCCAGGCTGTGATGGAAGGGCAGAAAGGGGCTCATTCATTCTTGTCCTCCCCACAGCTGATTTTAGGAGTTAATTCCTTCAAAGAGTGCCAAACTGAACAAACCTAATAAATCCCTTACTCTCCTTATGAGCAGTCAGTCAGATCATATCAAACCACTAATGCTCTCTCATCTTCCACTGGCCTTCCTGTTTGGGGAGTCATTCTGCATTCAACCTGTAGGAAGCACGCAACTGGGCAGGGCTGGGTGTGTACTTTCTTGTGGAAAAGTCCCTTTGATTCATTAGTGAAAGTTGCTACAGCTAATTATCACAAGACTCCTTCAGATACCTGTTCTTACAGGACAATGAACTATTAGAAAAGTATGGGAAACAAACCACTGGAAAATACCGTATTTCTTCAATTCTAAAATGCCACTGATTTTAAGATATGCTAGTTTCGCAAAAAAAAAAAAAAAGAAAAAAAATTGAACATACATTTCAGAAATCAAGCAGGGAAAGTACTGCATCTTAATAGAATTGAGGTAACATGACGAATGAGTAAATGAAATTAAGACATGTAACGCCCTGAGATTGTCTGGATCTCATTTCACCAGGCTGTGATGCTGTGTAAAAGCACTCTGGGGGCATAGGGGGTGCAGTTCCCATGTTCCAGGCATACGGAAGGGGAGCCTGGGGGAATGACGGCCAGCTGATGCCGAACCTACAGGTGATCAGGCACTTTTACAAAGTGCTCTGTGCAAAGCGTTTAAATGTTTAAAAAATGTTTCGCAACTTGTGTGCCCAGTTGTGAGAATTAATGTCAATCTGGTCCTGCCAGAAATGATCAATGCTGTATTTCTGGGTATTGCCACAGGGACCTCAGAGGCTTCTAACTGCATGCATTGAGATTGCAACATCCCCACCATCCATCAATCTCAGTTGAAGGTGGAAGGCTGAGAGGCCCCGTGGAAGGGATGGGAAGACAGGTATCCCTCCCACTAGGCGAGGAACCAATACAAGCTCAGAGGCAGAATGGAATGCTGAGGCTGAGATTGTGCTAGACCTGCCCTCATGCTAACTGGCCAGCAGCCCCCGGGAGACACGGGCCTGAATGGTCCACATTATCCCCTCCCCCACACCAGACTTGTAATTGATTTCATCTTTGCTTCTGGAACACAATGCTCCTTTTCCTGTTTTCAAGTGTTACCACTGGGGCAACTTTCATTCCTGAACTGCTACACAAATGACTAAGTCCTCAAGGTCATAGCTTTTATACCTTTTCCTGAAAAATGGCCTCCATTTTGAGTGCTAGCTAAATTGAGTGCATTTAAGGAGTTCATGTTACTGATTACATTGACCTTAAAAAATGGTTTGATTTGTAGCTCCAAATGAACTGGGAGTTTCTAGAACTCTATGTAAGAAATAGAATCTGGGGAAGTGAAATCTGATTACCATTTGTCCTTCAGGCAGATGTCAATCCCTTTTGATAAACACTAAAATTCTAACATTTTTAGATATGTTCAGCAGAATCTCAATCTGTTTAATTTGTACGGTGCTTCTGATTCTGATAGGACTTTTGCCCTGTGGCATTCATCACAAACTTCCCAGTATAACTGGTTAGGAGGATCAATTCTGCCACTTGATCCTTCCTAGCCATACGACCTTGTGCAAAGGTTGAATTTGTGGGCTTCACTTTACTCCTTTGCAAAATGGGGATAGCAGTACCTAGCTCAATGGAATGTTATAATTTGTGCGAAGGGCTTAGTACACAGTATGTGAAACAATGTTAAATTATTAGCTATTATCAGCCTACCTGGACCCTCCTACCTACCCTACTGGAATGATACAAATCTTGGGTATCATTTAGTTTCAGGAATGTTAATGTGGACACATTATACTCAGATAAGTACTTTTAAGGGCAACATGTCTGCCTTTCTTCCCAGGTTCTAACATTTTAAATGCATAGAAAATATCCAAGGGTTCAGGGCCTTAGGCACAGAATAGAAACCTGTTGTGAGCATGAAATCAGGCTTCAAGGGAACTTTCCCATTGCTTGCCACCTTTCTCCATATCCGGTCTTCCTCCATCATCCCTCTGCTGTGGGAAAGGCCCCCTTTGTTATATGCTATTAAACTACTGTATTCACTCTTAAAGACTTCCTCTTGGGACACCTGGGAAACTCATTACTTTTGTTCACTTCTCTTATGACACTCATCACAATGGGCTATGGTTGTTTTGACATGGGGATGCTCCTCTTTAGGAGGCAATTTTTATTCATCATCATCTCTCCTGGGTCCAGCTAGCCCGGTGCCTGCCTGCTACACTCATGTTTCCTGCCTGTTAGATGTCATTCTAAGCAAACCAAAAGGGCCTTTATTTTTGTGTGATCATTTTAACAACACATCTCGGTTATCCTTCAACACTTCAGAGGCTGTTTTAGAAAATGATAAGTGGTATTTTTTTTCTTTTTTGCCTAAAGCCTATCGACTTGCAGACCTTCACTCTTCCCTGCTAGTGATGTGAGGGAAGTAGCATGTTTAAGAAGCCACAGAATTTGGGATTTTTCTGTTATCATTTTAGATCTAGGATAAGTTTTTATATTTTATATGACTCACTCTTTATAATCAAGTCTTCATTGTCTTGGCAAAGTCAGAAAATGTTAAAATACTAAGTCATTAAATAAAAAAAAACAACACCTTGATTTTCTAGATAAGCTTCTGCCTGAAGCCCACTGTTAAAATTGGGTTGTCGAAAAAGTCATGTCGCATTTTTGCAACGAAAAACAGAAAAAATACGTCATGACTTTTCCAACAACCCAATATATCATTTTGGTTTTTGTGTCTGATACCATCCAAACATAAGGATATAAACTTTGAGTTCTAAAATGTGACTGAAGACAACAGGACCTTTAAGATTTCACTTTAAGATCACACTGACATTATACAGGGACTGAAGTAGACAAAGGAAAAGATAGAAATTTGGCACTTAGGTATTTCGTAGGGGGAAAAAACCCCAAAGAAACCGGCAACAGCAGCTAAAACTTACATAGTGCTTACTAAGAGCCCGCACTTTTCACCTTAACCCTATGAGGTAGATTCTGTTATCATCTTTATTTTATAGATGAGGAAATGGGCAGAGAGGTTACGTAATTTGCTTAGGTCACATAAGAAATAAGTGGAAGAGCTGGGGTTCAAATAAAGGCAGTCTAGCTGTAGGTACCACGGTCACAATCGTACTGTACTATATACACTACCCAGGCGAGAGACTAAGGTGCTTTCTTAAACAAATCCCCTGTTCACATGGTATGCATATGGATCAGCTTGAAAAATTACGGCGTGTACACCATCTGGCTGGAACCTTTATTATCTCAAAAATAGGCATCCTATGTAATGTGAAGTGCTTAGAATACTTATTTCTGGATTACTGTAATAAATGCTTATCAAGAACAACAATCATCTCAATAATCATACACTCTTATTTCATTCATTAGGAACTTCCAAAAATAACTCTTCTGTTATCAAAAAGTTTACAAATGTCACAAGAGAGTTAAGTAATGGTCTATGCATGAGAGAAGGAAAATTCTGCTAGAGGACACTCTAATGAAGCACTCTGCCCATTACATTTTTGATTAATATAGTTCATGAAGAATGACTAGCTTTGCTTTCCTTTTCTCTAGTGCTTAGTCTGAGAGGGAATGCAAGAAACCAAGTCTTACGAGAAAAACTGCTTTCCTAATCACAAGTTTAAGTCACAAACAGCCTTTTCTAATAAAAGCTTCAAAGCTTGATGAGAAAGGTGAGTGTGTATTCCATTAAACATTTCAATAAATGTGCAAAAAAATTCAGCAATTATGAACATATTGTTTGTATACTTGAAAATACAACAATTTTCAGGCTTTGCATATTTCACCCTGAGAAGATATTTTAAGGATATTTTGTTCTAGAAGATTCAAAAGTAAAACTTACACATATATTATATACATAAGGAATTCTCCGTATGATTAAAATTCTGGACTGTCAGAACAATGGCAAACAAATGAGAAGCCAAACATGATCACATGTATGTTATAAAGAGAGCATTAAAAGGAACAGCAGGAAAATGCATCACCTATGTCTTTGTTTTATGTTCTTTTGATAAGTTCAGCTGACGAATGTTAAAAATAATGCCTTGTTTGTTTCCAAACAGCCTGAGCCCTCTCACTGGCTCACCACCAACTACACAAGTCCTAAGTTCTAAGTGGTCACAGAAAGCTCGTAGGTGACCATTTACTTCCCTCTGGCCCCTTTACCAAACCTCTACATCACTCATGACATTACTTGTCAATATCCTGCATTCCAAAATACATGCAGGTAAATACAAGTTTGCTAATTTTTACTTAACCAAATAAATTTAAAAATAAATAAAACACTTAAATTCTAACAACACAAACCTCAGTTTTCACCTTCATTAGAATATTTTAGAATACTCAAACATGAGAATTGGACATGTGTACTTATTTGGAAGAGAACTACTGAATTTATTCTCCAGAAGAAAAGCAGACTTGAGCATCACATTACTGGAACATTTGAAACATGATGATAAGTTCTTATCTTCTAAACTTCAACAAAAGCTGCTTGAACAAACTATTTAATGAATACCTGTCCCTATCAAACAAGCAAGATATCTGATGCACTAATGAAGTCAGAGGCTGAGTCACTTCACTTCTTTCTGTTGCCTCCGGTTGCTAGAATAGTGGCAACTCGCATAAATATATTTAATGTATCCATGTAGATTCCCAGCATCCTAGAAAAGAAAATAATTCCCATTAAATATGATGTAATTCTAATAACAATGATAAAAGCTATTTCTTAATCTAGAAAAAAAGAAAAGCAATGCCAATTATTTGTCCTAGGTATATAAGATGGACATTTTTTAAAAAAAGATGACAACAAGGAAGTCTGAGACTAGAAAATAGCCAAGGTTAATCTTTTAACGTTAAAGGGCGGTTTAAAAATCATTATTCTATCCTTAACACTCTTAGTATCTTGTGGAAAAAAAAATGGGTGATAGACAATGAAAGAATCAAAACGAAAGCAAAGAAACACCTTTACAAAAATGTGTCAGACTCAAGTCTGGCATTTTAAAGTATAATATACCCCCTTAACATCCCACCCCCCCTTCACCCAAATAGAGAAACTGTTAAATCTGTAAGCATTATAAGCAGCATTTTAAAAAATCATTACATTTTTAGTTTTAAAAAAAGAGAAATAAATTACTTTGAAAAATGTGATAATACCATGAAACTCAAGAAAATTGTTTAAATAAAATACCCTACTTCGGTGGAGAGGCCAAGAAAAGGAAAAGGCATTATTATATTAAAACACTTAATATCAGTTAAATTTGAATATCTCCAAAATGAAAATTTCAAACTGAGGTGTTTTCCAATTTTTAATAAAATAGGTTTTGCTATTAAACATTTCAAGTCAATTATGTACTTTCCAACAAATAATACTTGACTAATACATCTTCTCTTCAGTTCTAAAGTTTGTTAAATATAAAATTAATTGACCAACAAGAGCACCATAAGGCTAATTAACAAAAATAGGTAAAATCCTCTGAATTAACTGAATAAATACCTAAATATTACACTTAGTTCCAATGCAATCAAACTTCTGTGGATGCATAGCTTATTAGAGAGAGAGAACAGACCAAACAGCGACAGAAATAAAATAGAACTTGCTAAGGCCACTGTTGCGGGTTGAATTCACAGATGTGATGTTCAAGTCCTAACCCTTAGTCATCTGTGAAGGTGACCTTGTTTGGGGACAGGGTCTTTGCAGATGTAATGAAGATGTGAGTTATGATGGAGTCACTCTGGAGTAGGGTGGGCCTTAATCTAATCTGACTCCTGTCCTCATAAGAAGGAAGGGACAGAGACAGACACAGGAGAAGCCATGTGAAGACTGTGGTGGAGACTGGTGATTATGGACAAGCGAGGACTTCTGGCTGTAACAAAAAGCTAGGCGAGAGGCACGGGACAGATGTGCTCTCTGAAGGTACCAACCCTGATGACACCTTGATTTCAGACTTCTGGCCTCCAGAACTGCGAGGGAATAAATTTTTGTTGTTTTAAACCACCCAGTTTGTGTAATTTGTTACGACAGCCCCAGGAAACAAATACAGCCATAAAACAAAATAGAATAAAATAACTCAACTGTCTTCACATGACAGGGAAAGTCATCAAAGACTACTTACGAATTGATGGGATCATATTTGTGAACTCCATACACTGGTACTATTTCTGCACGCTTGATTACTTTCTGCGTATCATACAGAAGGAACATGCTGAAAAGAGCTAATCCACCATAAATTGCCACTGAGTACAGAGTGGCACCAGCCACAGTGGTAGGCGGAAGAAACATAGATCCTGAAACCAAAATGGGGAAAAAAAGTTTGTTTTTTTAAAAAGGACTGTTCTGTAACTAGATTTATATTTAATATAACTTAAACAAATGTTCTTTGGTATACTGCACAGGTAGAAAATGTCTGAGTATAAGCACTGTCTAATTTTATGTACATTCAGCTCAAAATCCATGATACTCATTCCTTCAAAGGGTCACTGGCCCACATTATAGGAAGGTTCTTGCATCAGAGCAATTTTCATGTTCTCCATCCAGACCAGCTCTGCCACTTTAGATGTTATTTGGTAAAAACAATAATAATGGTTTACTATGATACCAAATAAGGAAATCCAGTCAAATTATCATAGATATTTTAAACAACTTTTAAAAATGACTAAATATATAGCCTCCGGTAGAATACCTGAGTATGTAAGACGACTTGGGGACATCATAAACCAAGAATCAAGTGTCAAAGCACAGGGGCTTACCCACTGAGGATACAAAGACGAGGCCAAGGCCCACGCCCAGGGGTGCTCCCATGTTCAGAAACTTCTCACTGGGCGCACACATGGCCACAGTGGAGAGGCCTCCCACGATGCCTGCTGTGTACCACGCAGCTCTGATGAGAAGAGGGCCCCCTAATATTGTCAGAGGAGCCACCACCGCACCCATTACACCTGGAGGGAGAATAAGTGGACACTTAGTATTTACTAAATAACCAATGGGAAAATGCCACTTCTAACTAACATGCCACTTGAACATAGACTTTATCGTTAAACAGTGTTAGAGAAAGTCTTTCCATTATTTAGGTAGTACTATCCCCCAAATCCTACAACCAAAACTTGTGGCTATCCAAATTCTAAATCATAACAGTAACATTATTCCTAGTCATACAGTCACAACTCACAGGTACAAACACTAATCTAGATTTTTAGTAACTTTGTCAAATTCTGTGTAGTTCATTATTTGGATCTGAATCTCATACTAGTCTTTATAACAATATTCATATATGTAAGAATTGAGATAAAATGACTTAAAATGAATAACTCAAAATCAAACCTACTGCTGCCAAGAGGAGACAAAGTAAAAAGAGAGAATGAGTATATGAAGCTAATCTAAAAATACAGAAACTTCAAGGACAGACACTGTTGTTACCTTGCATGATAACGGAATGTTATCACAGCTTGTAAAAAAGAATGTCAGATATTTATAAACATCTTCATAAAAATTATCAATATAGTTAAGCAAAGGTAAATAGAACTCAACTAAAAAAATAAATCTTAGGTACTGCATTACTTCAGTAGTGAGTAGAACAAATTACCTTTTTTTTTTAAACATTAGTTTATTAACAAATAAGCACAGAGCTATCTTCATACTGAAATTTCAATACTAGTGTTTCTTTTGTAAGGATAATGTTTTCTAGATCAAATCATGAGGTAATTGTATTTCATGGTGGTAAATAATTAAAAAAAAATTTTGCTCTAGGAAAGATATGGGATAAAAACTCGTCTGTATGATATTTCTATTAGGATTTCCATCAATTTTGCAATTGACAGCAAAATTTTTAGCAAAACTTTTAATGAGATTATTCAGAGACTTTTCAATAATACTTGCTGATAAAAATCTTAAATGGTAATAGATGTTTGCTGCTTACAGACAAATCAACTACAAAACAATGCTAACTCAGCATTATTATTGTGACTGAAAACTGGTATTCAACAAAGTGGTACAGCCACTATAGAGAACAAGTACTGAGGTTCTTCAAAAAATTACAGCTAGAACTGCCATATGATCCAGCAACCCCACTTCTGGGCTTGTAGCAAAGGAATTGAAATCAGGATCCTCACTGTTCATTGCAGCATTACTCACAATAGCCAAGACATGAAAGCAACCAAAGTGTCTGTCAATGGATGAACGGATAAAGAAAAGGTGGTACATTTATATAATGGAATATTATTCAGCCATAAAACGAATGAAACCTTACTATTTTTGACAACATGGATGGACTCTGAAGGCATTATTATGCTAAGTGAAATAAGTCAGACAGAGAAAGACAAATACCATATGATTTCACTTATATGTGGAAGCTAAAAAGGTGAAACAGAGTAGAGTGGTGGTTCCCAGGAGTTGGGTTGGGGGGGATGGTGAGCAACTAGTCAAAGGGTATAAACTTCCAGTTATAAGACTAACAAGTTTGGGGATTTAATGTACAGCATAGTAACATTAAAATAAAAAACAAACGAAGACCAGCTTTCAATAGTCACTGGGCAGACAAAACCAGGTTAGTCATACAAATAAAGCTTAATTTAACCTATTTTCCAAGACTAGCTTAGCCTGGGTCACTTTTTGCTTATGCCTCTGGAAATCATAAGGAGAACCTGATCTGTTTCCCAAGGCTGATATGAGGTAACCACAGGAAATTCTAATATTATAGCCAGTCTCTTTAATGAACAGTCACTGCTTTCTCACTATGTAAGCTGCTTTATAACAATATACTCCTGGGCGTCATTCCATATTTTTGGTTGAGCGCTCCTGGTTTGCAAACTGTCATTTTGGTGTTTGCACAATAAACTTTTACTAATTACTGTTTCAGTAATTCATTGGTTTTTAGTTCAGTTATTTCTGAACTTTTTACAGCTAATAACACTGTATCACATGCTTTCATATTGCTAAGGGAGTACAGTACATCTTAAATGTCCTCACCAAAAAAATAAATGGTAAATATGGAACGGAGGTATTAGCTAATGCTGTGGTGGTCATCATTTTGCAATACGTAAGGGTATCAAATTAACATGCTGTATACCTTAAACTCACACAATGTTAGGTGTCAATTACATCTCAATAAAGCTGTGGGATAACAATTAGAATAGTTTTTCAATGAGCATTTCAGTAATTCTGGCAAAGTATCACTTAGTCCTGACCGAGACCACAGCTGTGTCTACACACTGGCGCTAAATATCTGGATATAAAATGAGAATGGAATGTATCTGGATGTTACCACTAGGTCAAAAGCCAGCTCTGATGTCCCTTTAATGCTGGAAGTGGTTGCCTTTGGGTCATTCAAACCCCATCATGCCAGTGAATAAAGAAATGGACAGTGTGGGTCTTGAAGAAATAAGTTTGGTGTGTTAGTCTTGATTTTGGCGCTTCCTGGTGTGTGACCTCATCCACCCTCAGCATCCTCATCTATGAAATGAACATGCTAATGTCTGCACAGCTTCTGAAGATGTGAAGAATAAAGCAAATTTTGAACAACAGAAGAAAGAAAGAATAAACTGGCCTTCATATGGTGCAAGAACAGGTTGATACAGTAGGCATAAGGCTATCTTTACAAAGCCCTCCTTGCAAGGTTAGTCCTTCACTGATATCTGAGAACTTGGCACTTAAACCACTCTCTGATAGGGTTACACTATTTGTGCAAACGTTGTGAATTATGCTGAAGGCCTGCTTTCCTTCTGGGAGTCTGGCTTTTGATACTTGCTAGGAGGGTGCCTACGTGATCGACACTGAGTCTCTAAAGGGCTTCCCTGGGCAGAAACATTGCACGTTACTGTACTTTTCACATTTTTGGTGTGTCTCCTCACAGGAAGGAGAGAGCACTGGGAGACTACGTTTCTCCAGACTCCACACTCTGCCTGCATCTTTTCTCCTCGCTGTTCGTGTCATGCATCCTTTCATTGTAACAAATCTTAGCTCTGAATACAACTGTATGCTGAGTCCTGTGACTCCTTCTAACAAATCAAACCCTGAATGAATGGGTGGTCTTGGGGACCCCTCAGCATACATAAAATAACCTGATTCAAGTTATTTGTATGTTACAATAATATAAGATTAAAAGGGGTTTTCTAAACAAACCAGGTAGAAAGGCTTACTTATTCTAAGATCAAATTAAAACTACATAGCTATTTTAATTCAGTTCATTAAGTGAATAAGTATCTACTATTTATTAGAGATAAAAAGACACTGAATCTGTTTTCTCAAGGAACTCAGTGTCTAATGGGAAACTGGTGCAGAACTCTCTTCACTGGTCAAAACAGCACAATACAGAGATTTAGAAACATAAATGTAAATGTTAAAATTTAGATGTTGAGGAATTTTGTTTCAATGAAAGGATACATACTTAACAGATGCACATACTATATTTTGAATAATTTTTTTCTTAAAAGCAGGTTATTGGTACTGGAAGATAACAGACCACCTCCCTCTCATCCTCAAAGGTTTTGTCCTATAAAACTCCATGGAGATTATCTACAGTTGAATAAGCTAAAAACCTTATGGAAGAGAGACTTCAAAGCCAAGGTTGGGAAGTCATGCCGACTCACTCACATTTACCAAAATTAAGACAGCACATGAAGAATATAAGTGACATATTTCACACCACAAATTTGTTAATATTGAGTGCCAAAAACCTAATTTCCATTTACTAATCAGTTTAAAACATTTCAGAGTCTGTATGCCTGGAAGCTTCAGGGAAATACTTATAAAATTTGTCTTGCCTTGTGGTAGAGAACATGCATTTAAGAAGCATTTTTGCTTCTGGGTCTGGTTAGTTCTTTATTCAACCCAGAGACAGAATATCCTGGAGTACCTGAAGTGGAAAACACTTTGTCTAAACTTTATAATATTTGCCTTAAGGGAACTATCACAACATATACCTAAAAGGGTGTTAACCCTGTCCTGCAATACCAGGTTTGAGAAGCCTTTGCCCCGCCCATGGTCACTTTGGGCCAAGAACTCTCTTACTACTGACCCAGCTAAGCGTATCAAACACAAGTGTGCATTTCCAAAGATCCTTTTTTCCTCCCAAAGATATTTTTCACTGCTTTTTCCCAATGCTCCACTGCAAAAATCTTCTATTCTTTCATGTGTCTTACTTCTTCCTTCTCTTCACCCTGCTTTTTATTTTTTTAAAGATACACAACAAAAACAATTCTCAAGTGATGTTTATCAGATTTTAAATCCTCCTGGCATTACACAAAACATATAAAAGGAAATCTCTACATATACTAGTTGTCACAGGAGGCAGGTGTAATATTGAGGATGTCCATGGTCTTAGTATCAGAATCATTAACTTTTCGTAGTAGAGGTCTGGTAATAGTACAACCAGTAATAAGTGCAGGAAACTATTTTCTAAACATGAGGCTTAATTAAATTATGTACAAAGCATTAATGGTTGTAAAGAGCCACCAAAAAGACAGTATTTAAGACCGCTTAATAACAAGTGAAAATCAGAACATACCAGAATGTAGTAACCAAGCAAGGTGCTTTGGACCTGGGCTCTGGTCATATGGTATTGATTGTACCAGCATTCCAGCTCCAATCATGGCTGCAAAGGTTGCACCAATTGCCTGAAAGACACATATTACTAAGAAAAATCGATTCTTATACAACAACAAAGTAGAAACCAACAAGTTTTAAGTTCAGTTAGTCCCTCTAATAAACCATGTTTACAAAACTGAAGAAGAATAAACTGAGCCCTGTATTTTTCTAGCACCTTAAGGGCCTTGGGTTTATTTCAGTTTGGTCAAGTTAGCATGAGTGCCCCCTACTGCCATATACAAAGTAGTGCAGACAGCTTTAAGTGAATGAGTTGCACTTTGATAACATCTTTTATAAATTTTATTTTTGTTAGACAGAGGTTTAACAAAACCCCTTTAAGAATCCCACACTAATTATTTTTAGTTATATTGATTTTAGCAGCACAAGTAATATTTTAAAAACTTAAGTCATGATATACCAATTCAAATACCGGGGGTGTCAAAAAAATGTATACACATGACTTGTCATCATCTTTTGTTATAGGCATATATTAAGTATTACAATTTTAATACAGTTTTTTCCTTTCTTAAAACATGTATATATATTTTTTGGCACCCCAGGTATACAGCACACTGCCTTGAACTCTGTATTTACAAAAATGAAAACCTGAAAAATAGAAGCACGTGGCAAAGATGAGAAGTAAGATTCGACGTTTCTACCCTTCTAGTTTTCTGGCTACCTTGGTCCTCTTCCCTCCTCTTGGCCTGTTTTAGATTTCCATGGTTACATTTAAATATTCCTTGTGTATAACAAGAAAGAAATGCATGTAACGGAAGACAATAATGAATCTTCTGGATTTTTAAAGCCAAGACTGCAAACTTGCAGCCTCTGGACAGAAGCAGGCAGCAGGTCTTTTGTTTTGGCCAACTACTCAAAAAACAATCGAAGTGAATGCTCTAAATCGGGATGGCTTTTCTCTAGATGCCAATAATCCCCCTTTGACATAGCAGCCCTGCCTCACTCACCTGCACTGTCTGACACACAGGCACCTGAACGTGCAACCTCTGATGTAAAGGACAGGTAAACAGAACATCTGTTTTTGCTGAGAATGGGAAAGCCTTCACTCATATTGATACAGAAAGCACACTGGATTCTGCTCTACCATTTTCCAAGGAAGAAACAGTTACTAAAAACTAATTCATACATCTCTATGCAAAACATTTTCAGGATAGTTATCATAATTCTGTTTTTTCTTTTAAGGTACTTCATGATTCAGTTCCATTTTTTGCCTCTTACTTTTCCATAATCCACGCTCCAGCTACATTGAATGGGTAGGGCTGCAAACATGCCCCAGGTTCATGCCTCTTTAATTCTGTTTGTTGTGCCTATCTCCTTCCTGTTTGACTTATTCAAGGATTACCTCCTAATCTGCGAAGTTTTTCTGGTAGGACCCCAGGCTGCCACGAGAGGCATCAGATGCCTCTTCTCTGTTCCAAAAGCACCTGGCACAACCGATGGCATTATCTGTGAGTGTCTGCACCCCTCCAAAGGCCACATCTTCATCTCTGTAGCATCTGTCTGGCTTTCCAAACTGTTTTACTTAAGTCCTCACAAAGGGTGAGAATGAGCTTATGTTCACGGGGGGTTGAGAATATGGCCCAAGCACAAAACTTCTTTGAAGTCTCATTTTAGAGACTAAACTCTTTTGCATTTTTTTAGGAGATATTAAAGCAATGAGATGGGTCAGAACTCCTAACACACAAAACCAACCACTGCTGAAATGTAAGGAAGGAGAGACAAAATTCACTGCTTCTTCCTATTATTTAGTTATCCCATTCTTTTTTTTTTTGATCTATGTTTTTTCGTGTATTTTTTATTTTAATTAGTTTCAGGTGTACAACACAGTGCAATAGTTATACTTTTTACTCCTCAAACTGACAACCACCCTTCCCCAATCTGCCTCCCGTCTCCCTCCCCCATATCATACGTATCTGTTACCATTCCATTGACTCCACTCCCACACTATACTCCACGTCCCGTGACTATACATATATTCAATTATAGTTGACTTTTGCATATTTTAATCTTCCTCAATACATCATGTTTGCTTTATTACAAAAAAGAGCTATTTTAAATTATTTACCTCTGATTAAAACTGACATTGGGTGAGAATGCACCATGCTTATTCTGTGCCTTCAAGAACACGTAAGTTAGGCAATTCATGACACCATCTGAGAAGCAATATCCTAAGAATACAGGACTGTTCGAACAGCAAAGTTCGAACTATAAATGGTTCTCCTTTTGAAATGTACAGTATGCTGAAAGTATTACAGATTTGCAAGTTACAGGGATTTGGGTTGCATATGAGAGAATCAGTTTGCCAAGGGAAATCTGTACTTGTTACATAAACTCTCCCATTTTCCCTCCCCGTCCAGCCTCACTCATTGCTCTTTCATCCCTCATTTCAGATCCTGCAAAGGCACAGCTAGTACATCCGCTTGTCTCTTCTACCTTAGCTTTACCTACTCAAATGCACACTAGGATTTTGTTGTTCCAGTGGCCTCTCACTGCTTACTTAGGCATTCTCCTCAGCTTGGCAAACATTCCCTAATTTCTTCTTTACACTCCATACCTCAAGTACTTGCACTTCACCCTAATGGGGTTGTAAAGCACTTTTATTGACTACCTTCTTTGCTCAAGCTGTTTTGCAAACTTGGACTACCCTTGTCCTCTCCTAAAATAAAAAATGCTAGGCTTCAATGGCCCTGATAAAATAAATGTCTCCTTCATGGAACTTCCCTATTAGCCCAAGACAAAAACAGTGATTCAACTGACTTTACACATTCTACTTCTTATTGTATTTCCTTTAACACTTACTCCAGTTCATTTTTTCAACCAGATAGTAGGAAAAAAGACACCACATTTGAAATCATTTTCTGGTATGTAGCAAAACAACAAATGCTCAAGAAAAATTCATTGAATACATAACCTTATACAGGGTCAAGAAAATTCAGAATAACTGCAGCACTATTTTACTTTTACTAGTATAGAACAATTGGGTTTTTGTGACAGGTATTTTCCACTGACCTCTACAATGGTTTTGGGTCTGCCTTATTTTTTATTAAACTGCTATAATAAAGGCTGTTCGATATCTGCTGCTAGGTAAGTAGGACGTGCCTATAAGTTTGGTTTCAAGCCCTCTGCTGCTATAAAATACATGTTCAACAAAAAAGAGCTGACTTACCTCAGAATGTGCTTCCTACTTTGCCTCAGCTGCACTTGTTCAATGTAGTAAGGTATTCTTTCCACTTAACACACCTCCCCCAATACATGTTGTCTGCTCTTTTGATATGTAGTGGAAAAGGAAAAACAAAAACAAGCTGACTTACCACCCAAGAGCCTCTCATCATGAAGTTCATGAGAACAGGAGTTCTGCTCACTGCCAGGGCAGACAAAGCTGTTAAACCAATACTTCCTGCTAAGTACATATAGGTAGAATGAATTCTATCCTTCACATACTGAGGCCAAATTCTGTAAAAAACAGAACATGGATAATTTGTGAGATTATAGATATGAATTTTGGTTGAATCATTTACCAGCTAGGAGGCGTTGGCTGCTCTAAATCTTATTCACCTCATTTATCATGGAAATAATGAAGCATATGTTGGCTTTACTGTAAAAAGTAAATAGAAAACACATAAGCACTTGGCTCATATACAAAGCAACACATTTCCTCCTTGCTTGAACATGTATAACCTTGGAAAAAGTTTTTATTTAGGTTTGAATAAATACATATCAGGGAAACAAGAGATTCTATTTTTCATGTATATTTCTACATAGTTAGAAGATTAGACATAAAACATTGCAAAAGTGGCAAAAGGTAAAGATGACAAGAAAACTGGAAACTTTAAGGCTAGAACTGTTTGGGAACAATTTACTTACATAGCCTTTTCAATAGCTCCAATCTCATTAGACATTCCCAAGCCATAGTAGCACAATGCTCCAAGACCAACAGCAGCCCCTCCAGCGATAAACCATCTTCCCATCTGATCAACTATAGAACACAGGAAGAAACGCAGGTTAATACTGTCATGTCTTGACTAAAAATGCTGGTGGTAAGCCCTTTCCAATGTTTAAATGAGGGAAATAAAACCATATACTGTACTTCTTTGTGACAGCCATAATTAGTAGATATGAGGACACAGAAATGGTCTCAAGATTAGGAGTCTAGTAAAAAAAAAAACAACACTGCAGAAATATAGGTGTAATACTCAGTACAAAAAAGATCAGACTTGATTAACCTTTAATCTCACTCCAACAAAACTTGAGGGGGCAGTGTGTCTGTATATGTGGGGAGACTTCAGCGATATGTTTTATGGATAAGAGTCTGGGGTATGTTCTCATGACACTTAGAAAGTAAAGATGAGAAAGAAATGTTAATAGTCATTATCACACTGTGTCTAAAGTGCTATTAGCAAAGATGGTCCTTTAAATGGAGTCAAGAAAAAAGGAACCAAAGAAAAATGTTTACGCAGCAGAATCAAAGGAGATGGTGCTCTTATTTTAGAGTACAGAGAAAGGAACAAGTTCATCAATTCTAACTGGATTAAAGTATTCATAAAGACCATCTTATTTCCTTTCAGTCTGAATTTGTTCACTAAGAATGTTACTTTTCTGTCACTGTATGAGTCATACAATTTGGTTTCTAAGGCCAACCTATTTATTGATCAGGAATGCCCTGAGAAATACCAATTAGGGCTCTCTCCCACTCTAATGTATTGACATTTGCTAGGTTAAGGAGCAGTAGTGTTCTTTGACTGGATTTGGGTAGATTAATAATCTAGTTTCTGAACTTGCAAAGCTGAAATCCAAACTGTGAACCAAATTGACTTCATTAAAGTATTGCTTCCTGAGAGGTCCTATGGGGCAGGTAGTTAAGAAGACCCTTCCTGAACAGCTAGGCTTTTATTAATGCCTGTTTCGGTGATACACTCTTGACCTGAAACATATACAAATAGTATATGCTTGAATGAAGAGTCTATGCTACTTCAAATGGATTTCCTTAACAGATACCTTTTAAATTATGCCGTATTAACTACCATATTTCCCCATGTATAAGACGCACCCTTTTCTGAAAAATTTGGGGTCTAAAAACTGGGTGCGTCTTATACAGTGGTTGTAGATTTTTTTTTTTACTGGTATTTCCCACTTTTTTCTGCGCTTGTTTTTGCACTCATACAACCACTGTATAAGATGCACCCAGTTTTTAGACCCCAAATTTTTCGAAAAAGGGTGAATCTTATACATGGGGAAATACGATAACAATCCTTAAAAAAACATAATGGTGCAAGTAAAATTTTTCTCTGGAAGAACTATGACTGGGAACCACTGAACCCAGTTTGAAGTACCAATCTTTTGTGCGTCACTAGACCCCTGAAAAGGATGAAAATGGTTGCCTTTCTTCCCATAAAATACACATATACATAAGTTTGCATATTTTTAGGAAGTTGTTCATAGACCTTGTTTAAAAACTAAAGACTGGCACCTACTTTTAAGTATTTTTTCCATTGATGGTTCCAATGCTGCCTCCTTGAGTTCTTGGCCAGTTTTCCCACGCCGGATCCCAATTCTTGTCTTGGTGGCATATTCCTGACATATATGAAAACAAAGACACACACCACCCACACCAAAACAGAATGTTAACAATAAAATGAAATGAAGGATCTCGTTACACTAGAAAACTCTATGTATAATATGGTACTTTCTATGTATGTAACTGCATTATGAAAGTATGTTAGCCAATCTAAAAAATTAAATGGAGACCCTATTTGTGCTCTCTGTTTAAAGTGACTCACTAACTCATGACAACTTAACTTCTTAGGTTAAGTTTCAGAATAATTGCTTATTTCATAAACTACAGATTTTATTTATATCTCTAGAATTATGTGTCAAACACTAACTTTTTAAAAACATGCATTCAGTATTGGCTACATTTTTTCATCCGAGAAATGGGCTCAAGAAAGGTATATTTCCTTAACACAAAGCCAAAGGGAGGGATGGCTACTACCTGTTTTAGTTCCCTTTCAACAGTGGGACAGTTAATTTAAGAGGAAAAATGTTGTCTCCTCTAGAATCTGTGCATTTCCTTATCTAACTCACATTTCAAAATTTATACTTTTACTTTGAAAGCTAGAGGGGAAATCTATTAAAGGAAATGAGTTTCTCTCACCTGACAAATTTTATTTAGCCATTCTCTAAACAACAGCTGAAATGACAATATTTAGTAATGTCTTAACAAGCTATTTGGCCAGCTGGTAATATTCCTAGGTACTTAAGCTTTTGATTATAGGCTCCATGATCTCTATGCTACGCCATATAGCTCTTAAGCCTTCAAATTACTTGAAGCGAGAAACTCCAAGAGCTGTAAGTAAAGGGACAGTTATAGTTCTTTTTCTTTTTCATATGATAAGAATAGACCAGAATGATACAAAATTAATGGGGAGAAAGCTGATTTGTGACATCATTAGGGCTAATTGTTTCAGTAAATGACTAATGGTAGAGAGCTTCATACTATCAAAAAAAAAAAAAATGGTCCTGGGGCACAAAGAGAGAGACAGACAATATAAAAACATTCAGATTATCTTTACCCTGCTGGGTGTTAAGAGCCATTGATTCTTTGTGATGGAATTCTTCACAACAGGAGAGGCCTTGGTGAAAGTTGGGTGGAAAGCCCTGGAAGGCAGTGTCCTGAGACACACAAGTCTTGCGGCCAGCATGGTGGTGTTACACCAGGTTTACCAAGCAGATCTAAAAGGCTAGAGACAGAGACAAAAAAAATAACCCATTAACCAATTAGTAAAGGACATAGGAGGTCCAAACACAAGAAGAAACCAATTATATTTTAGCAGAAAAGATGGAAGTGATATTTTAAAATGTTAATGATGAATCCTCTGCTTGTCCCTTGTTAATTCAAGAAATCCATTCCACAAAACCCAGTTTGAGATGGATCATCAAATTAGAATTAAATCCCAGTTTGAATAGTAACAAAATGTTTGACTCTGTAACAAGTTATGTGGCTAATACAGAGTGGATGTTAGTATTTTAAGAGAACTTACAGATTGCTTTTATAAATGTGGTTTTGACTTAAGATTTATCCCAGTATTTAATGGGAAAATTTAAAAAGAACACTCTATAGTACAAACTTTTGAGCAGAGGAAAAATGTCATCCAAGGAAGAGATGAATAATTCTTCAAGGTCATGCTGCATTGCAAGACCATAAGACATCAAAGGAAACCAAACATTATTAAATTTCTGCCAAACAAATATTATTTCCCTTCAGAACGATATAAAAATATTCAAATTATTGAAACCACCTGAGATGCATCTTAAAATGTAGATTCCTGGGTCTTACTCTGGTCCTAATGATTCAAACTCTAGGAATAGAACACAGGTATATGTATTTTAACTAGCGCCACCAAAGGCAAGAATCATTGCTGGAAATACCTATCTCTGTGTACTTCCAGCTCAGTCACCAGCTCTATGTACACCGGGTGTACGTAACTGGGCATGTCCTTTGGGAAAATACCGAGTTCTNGCATCAATAGGGCAGGTTTGCATAAGAGCCCACCTGGTCTCCTGCTCCAAACTTTCTCAAACCAGATCTTCATCCCATCCTGATCCATCCAATGTGGACAATCACTCCTCGAGGAATGTCTTCTTTTGGCATTGTTTTGTGTTTGAAAATCAGCATAGGAGGCAGCTTGGTTCCATTGGCACAACAAGCTAGAACAACTGTATAATGGCTCTTTTCATGTCCACTTGTTTTCACAGTTACAGTTTTCACTCCCTTCTTATCAACAGTTCTGTTACTTGGGACATCAAATTGAAGAGGGACTTCGTCCATATTTGCAATTGTCCCAACTCAAACTGATGTGTCTTCTGACATTGAATGACAAAACAATGCAATTCAAGGACCTTTTTCTCATAGCTTTCAGGCATCTTTTGGGCAAGTCTGGTGCATGTACACATGCTTAGTCCATTCTGTATCATGAACCTGAAGTATCAATTGTGTCCTCCTTTGAAATCAGTAACTTCTTTTTCATCAACAATTCTTGCCTCATGCTGAACCATCTTTGTGGACACAGGAATTCCAATTGCCCTTTGCTCTTCAATCCATGTCTTCAATTCCCTCTCTAAATCTGGCCATTTTACTGACTTGCCTCTCATGGTTTTCTTCTGCTGTGGCGTTTTCAGTAGGGTTTCTTCTTCCTATAGCCAGTCTTGGAATGCTTTTGGAAGAGGACCAAACTTACAACAGCATGATTTCCATTCACTTTTGCAAACTGGATCACTTTTAACTTGAATTCAGCACTGTACGAAAATCTTTTCTGAGCCATTTCTGGGCAGAACGTGGCAAAACGTAACCTACCGTAATATACCATTAACAAGTGCAAAACTGAGCGCAAAGACAACAAGCATGAAAAAGCAGGAANAAGTTACCTGGTCGCATTGTTGGGAACATCTGCTTAGTGCAGGGTGAGGAGAGGTTTCATTGACTGAGAAGCCAGTTAGGAATTTATTGCAATTGTTCAAGCAAAAGGTGAAGAAGGCTGGAGTCAAGACAGTAGAGAGACATAGAGGGGCTTTATGACAGAGATATATGACTGAGAAAGAATTTACAGGATTTAGTGACTGGTTTAATGTAGCTGATAAGGATGAGGGAAGCACCCAGGATAATCCCTCTGTTCTGAATTGAGTGAAATTGGGTGGATGATTACACCATTAATTTAGAGATAGGATATAGAAAGAGGTATAGATGAGGAAGAAGTAGATAAATAAAACTCAGTATGATGTGTTAAATTGTCAGCTCTCTGCTTCTAAGGCCTTGGTGCATAGGACAGGTAACAGAAAAAGGCATGGATCATGAATCCTAATTCTGTATATGCACCACAATTTTTATAAGGCTGCTGATTGGTTCCTTATCCTCTACCTGCTGGCTAAGTGAAAAGTGCTGGGTTATAGAAGAGAAAGTGCCAAGGACTAAAGAGAAAGTATTTCATTTCTTTTGTCAATGTAAAAATGTCCCAACCTGTAGAAAATTTTTATGAGTTTATTTGAGCCAACTGACAATTGCTGGGAAGCAAGGTCTCAAATACTCTGGAGAATAGTTTCTTTTATGCATTTTAAATTAAGGAGGGAACCTAAGGAAGGTTACATGAAGGTGGGAGAAAGCAAGGCAGGGATTGGATTACAGAATAGTTAACAAGAGTATGTGCTCTCTTGAGGGTGTTTACCCTATTTCAAAGGTGCATTAACCTAGATGCACAAAAATAATTAACAGGGCTTGCTTAATGCAAAGATAAACCTTTCACTAAAAAAATCATATGCCTGGTGTGTAACTACCCACCATGACCAGCCCAGCTGGGAATTTATGATCAGATCACCCTGTAAGGTTATTTTCTATAGAATCCTTTTTTTAATTTGTTTTGGTCCACACTTTTTAGTTAAAATAAATGTTCCCCCTACCCCCCCACCACCAGCCCACAACATTTTTCCATCAGATGTGGTATGGGTGAAAAAGAGTTGAAAAGGGAGTTTTTGAGGTCTTTATCCTCTGCCCTCTCCAGTGGGGTCTTATGTGCCCACTGTGTCTCCCAACAAAAGGAAGGTGCTCCTCCATGAAATATTGGTGATATTTCTGAATTTAGGGGACCAGTGGTAGCTGTTTCTCATATGATGTTCGTTAAGTGGCAGTAAACAAATCAGATGGGGAGAAGAGAAGATCTTTCCTGTCTTGTTTTCTCTTGGATTTAAAGTACACCATGTCAGAAATTCCTAGAATTCCCAAGGCCTGGATAAACCAAGACTGTAGCTGTAAGCATCTGGCAGCTTGTTTGCATCCTTCAAGACATGTACAGTAGTGAAGGGAACACCAGAAGTATGCATGGGCAAGATGCCCAGATGAGCACCAATAGACGGTGGAGTGTGCTACACGACTGNCACCTAGAATAATTTAAATCACTTGTTTGGATTTAACCAGGGAAGGGCTGTCCTAGGTGAGTGTGTTGGGGCAGGTGAAAGAGGCAAACAAATTAAGAGCTTTCAAGGAAGAGATTATAATGATGAAACACAGGAGGTAGGCTGGGTCAAGATGGATGTGAGGATGAAAGAAGCTAAAAAATCTGGCGTAATAATGGGTTGGACATTTTTGCATTTGTATAATTGAAAGAGTTGGTGATTTCAATGAAATGAGGTTGTAGTACAAAACCCCCAAAACACTGGATATTTGAAATTCAGATTTTAGAGGAACTGTGGTTATTGGTAATGGCAAGGTCATGAGTATGACCATGGGATAGGAGACTGAGGTATAGTAGAAGAAAAGATGATTACATGTGACAAAGAGCTGAGAGGTCTAGGTGTTGGTTGGCTCTCCCAATGGATGCTGATGCACTGAAGATGGTGACAGGTCTAGGGGTAGAAGGGCAGGTGAGTGTGGTAAGTACAGTAACAGACTCCTAAAAATGCCATGCTCTAATTCCTGGCACCTGTGACTATGTTACCTTACTTGGCAAAAGGAACTTTGCATTTATGATTAAGTCAAGGATCTTCAGATGGGAATTTATTCTGAACTCTGGGTGCAAGGGGCAATTTAGTCACAAGGGTCCTTTTAAGAGGGAGGCAATAGATCTGAGTCAGAGAAGGAGATGTGACAATGGTGACAGAGGTTGGAGTAATGTGGGGACATGGGCCAATGAATGTGGGCTGCTCTAGAAGCTAGAAAAGGCACAGAAACAGATTCTCCCTCTCTAGAAGGTAGTGCTTCCAGAAGGAATGCAGCTCTGCTAAAACAATTTCAGACTCCAGCACAGTAAGATAACACATTCATGTTGTTTTAAGCCAGTAAGTGTGTGGTAATTTTCTTATAGCAGCAAAAGCAAACTAATACAGCAGACATTAAAGTCATTAATGAATTAGGGAGAGTGATGGCAGTGGGTAGGGGGTGGGATGATAAATGAGAGAGCTAAGGAGGTGAGGCTTGGTGCATACATTTAAATGTTGCTGAGGTTTTAGAAAGAAGACGGCATCTTATAGGTGCTATATCATGAGTTCCAGGAGTGATGATGGAAGGTTTGGGAAGGGTGGGAAATAGGATCAGATTAGGGTGGGTTCAGTTCATTATAGGGAGGATCTGGGGAGCTTGGGTATTTGGTGGCATCTGAATAAACAAGGGAGTGAGGAGAGAGTCCTGAAAGTTTCTTATTTCCAGATAGTTTCATCAATGTTTTTCAACACATATTTATTCAACCCCTACTTTGAGAGGGGTCTGTTATGGACATGAATGCTTTGGTGACCCATTGGCAAGTTAGTGCATCCTCCTGGAGACAGCTCTCCTGAGTATCAGCAATTTGAGTTGCTCGAAAGCTTCCTCTCTCTGTTCTGGGGGCAAAGTGGTTTGAAAGATGGGTTGAGGGGGATGAGAAGAAAAGGATGTAGATGGGAGTAATGTTTTACTTGAAATATAAAGCTTGAGACTTCCACCTTCTCTGGTGACTTGATGGGCTGGTGAAAAGACAAGCCACCTAAAATGGAAGAAGAATCAGGCTGACATCAGATTTCTCATCCACAACATTAGATGCTGGATGCTCGTGGAACAATGCCTTCAAAGCTCTGAGGAAATAAAACTGAGGACCTAGAACTTTATACCATGTAAGAATGCAAACCAAGTGTGAGTGAGGGCAGGACTTTGTGCTGGGATAGATCCCTAACCGTTCCCCTGCTCCGCTCCTATTGCAAGGGATTGGCTCTGTAGGCTGCCTTGCTCAGGCTTCTGGTTTATTGGCTCCTGGTTGGTTTCAAGCAGTGAGAGTGCAGGAGGAATGAGGAAACCAGGGCATAATTCCTCCCAGCTCCTCCTGCCCTCCTATCCCTCTGGTGGAATCTGACCTTTGCTGTGTGTTTTCTGTTGTTCCAGTTTCTCCTGGGTGACCTGGCCCCAGGGCTGGAATCTGCTAACACCACCGCTTGCTTTGTCCCTCCAGCCTAAGGATGGTTATGAATATCCACGTCTGTAACATGTGGGTTGCTTTTCTCCTTGTTTGGTTTCTCAGTTCTTCCATTATTTATGTAGCTAATTTTCTCCATTAAATTTCCTGTGTTTAAATGCTTACAGTGGTTTCACTTTTCCTTTTGGGAATCTGAGTGATACAGCAAGATAAGGGATTTTCAGAAATGCAAGGGGTCAGAAAGCTTATCTCTGGCATAATCCTTTTTAGGGAGTTTTATGATGACATACTCTAGAAAAGCAAGGGAGAAATTTAAAAAAGAGGCTAGATACACAGTCCAAGAGGGCAGGAGGGAGCAATAGATCCAATTTTAAAGGGGGGTGAAGGAAAGTCCAGGGTAAGAGCTATGCCACAAGCCTGGAGCACAAACACTGCAGCTTGAAACAGGAGTACAGAAGGCTGCAAAAAAAGCAACTGACCCCTTTTCCCCCCAAAATAATCCATGTAAGATCACAAACTGTTGTGTTCCAAATTTAAAGCAAAATAAAATATGCAATGATTTTTAAATACAATTGATAGAATGTAAGTGAACCCATTTCACCTTGAGGCAAGGATCATTGTTTTCTCCATGGCCCAGGCATAGTGACATTTGTGGTGCAAAAAAAACAATAGGTTTATACTTGGCCTTGCAGTAAAAAATATTTAGAGTCATATGAATGTAAATGCTGTTTATTGGATATTTAACTCTTAAAGTCAACCTAACTACAAAGAATGGAAGGCTTGATTGTGGCTGCAGCAGAGAATATAAATGTTAACAACCTTGCTGCTGCTGTAAAAGTGTACATGTGGCTGTAGAAGGTCAAAAAAGAACAGCTGAAGGGAGATGAGGCCTTGATATTCTCATTTTGCAAAGNCTACTACCATGTGAGGACACAGCTGTCTATGAACCAGAAACTGGTCTTCACCAGACACCCTATCTGCTTGCAGCTTGATCTTGTACTTCACAGTCTCCAGAACTGTGAGAAATAAATGCTTGTTGCTTAAGCTAAAACAAACAGAAGGGTCATTTATAATGAAGTTGGGAGGCCAGAACAGGGAGCTCTGATGCCATATGTGAACCATGGAGCCCAAGAAGAACTCTTTGTTTATACTAGCTCTCCCAACTTCCTCTTCTCTTAAAAGAGTTTGCTCCGATTTGTTTCTCTTGACTTGTGCGTGGTTTGCCATTAGACTGCATGTCCCGAATTGCAATTCTTCATTTCCAAATAAATCCAGTTTTGCTGGAGAAGTATCTGGCTGTCTATTTGTTTAAGGTCAACAAACTCCAAGGTGACTGATGGTGTTAAATCCTAAATCTGACTGACAAATTGTCAAATTGTCCTGAACTTGCCAGAATGGAATAAATGAACTTATCTGCTTTAGGCTGATTGGGGTCTCAAAAACAATATTGATGCCAGAAAAGAGAAAAATGTAGTTCATTTTTGTACTCATTTTACTGGAAAATGTTCAATGTATCCCCCTCACAGAGATGAAACCAGATGCTATATGTGGGTCAAAGGGCAAGTTCATTAATGAGATAGTATCTGTGGAGGGGCAGAACTTTGGAGGAATTTTGAGAATAATCTCATGCTTCTTGGTCAGGTTGCAAAGAGGAAACTAAGGCTAAGAAATGATAATGATTTAAGAAAACCTAACAAGGTAATGGTAGGTCTGGGTCTAGAACATGCACTCTCATAAACCAAAGCTTGAAGGGTGAAAAAAATTCTCTCTCTCTCTCTATCTATATTTTTTTCCAAAAGATTTTTTACTAAAAATATAGCTAAAAATATAAATATATTTAATATAAATATAAATATAAATAATATATATGAGTTTCAGGGGTACACCATAGTTGTTCAACATTTATATATCTAAAGAAGTGTTCACCATGATAAATCCAGCAACCATCTGACACCATACCACACTATCACAATATTATTGACTATGTTGCCCATGCTGTACATTACATCCCCATGACTTAATTGTCTTATACTTGGAAATTTGGACCAGTTATTACCTTTCACCTTTCCCCCACCCACACTTTTAATTTTTCAATTATTGTTGAAATTCAATATTACCGTATTTCCCCATGTATAAGATGCACCTTAATTTTGGGGCCTGAAATTTGAAAAAAAAAANGCACAACTCTAAAACAACCCTGCCTCAGGCAACCCCTTGTCGGTCCGCCAGCGCGGATGCTTCAGCACCTCAGCAGCGAGGGAGAGCCCCAGCCCACCCACTCCCGGCCCCGCAGTCGCCGCCCTCATGCCCAGGGTCACCCGTAGGACGACGATTCTCAAGCGCCGCCAGGCTGTGACGCAGTAAGCTGCGCCGCTACCTCCAGCCCTCCCCAGAGGCAGCCAGCGGCCCCGCGGGGCCCGCATGAAGAGTACGGTGAACCTCGGGTGCCTGTCAGCCCAGGGGAGCAGTACCTCAGTCCCCGGTCACCTCAACCGCGCAGCTGCCCTTCCGGGCGAGCGAAACACAGAGCGCAGACCTTGGCCGCACACCCGACTCTTACTGTCTGTGTGAGCTCAGTTCCGCCCGTTCGCTCCGTTATGTCACATCCGGAGAGGCGCAAACACTATGGGCAGCCAATCATGAGCAGATCTCTGACAGAAGGGCGGGCACAGTAGGGGAGAGGGGTTCCGGGATGGGGGCGGGGCCAGTGGAGGATTGTTGGGGGCGTTGCAGTCAACGTCCATTGTGGGTGTGGGCAGAGAAGGCATTAGGCCATCTTAGCTATGGGTAGCCGAGCTCGTCTTCCGTTTAGTCTTATTTCACTCGCAGCAGTTAAAAATTATTTAAAAATGGAAAGAGAATCGTGTGAAAATTAAAAATTCTTCTGTTGCCCTGTTCCTTTACTCTTGTCGCCTTTTTGTGCCTTTTCAACAATGTGTTCCGAGATAGTGTGCTAACTGGCAGTTTCAGACAGGAGCTAACCTGCTTCTTGGGTCTAATGCCAAAGGTTAGCTTCTGTAAAGGATGTAAGACACGAGGTAAGAGAGAGACGTGGCAGGATTTTAGGGAGTGTTTTCATTGGTCTATGACTTACCCATGACACATTTTCAAGCTTCAGTGTATACTTGTATAATAGGGCTGATGGGACAGAATTTGTCTCTTACCCAGTGTTGTTCTGAGGACTGACTATTCAGATGTTTTCGTTGCACATAATTTGTAGAGTGAGAAGCCATTTCTCTGTTATGTGAGGGAGGTTTTTGTTTTTGTTTTCTTTCACTCTTTTACGCAATACATATTTACTGAGGCTCACTTTACACCAATCACTGTCCTATAGGGATATAGAGTAATCCTCCCCACTCCACCCATCTGTGGTTTTGCTTTCCACAATTTGTTACATGTGGTCAACCTTGGATCTGAATATATTAAATAGAAAATTCCAGAAATAATTCATAAGTTTCAAATTGCACACTGATCTGAGTAGCGTGAAGAAATCTTGCATCGTCCTGCCCAGGACATGAATCATCCCTTAAATCCCATGTATCTGTTACTGACCCTTCTGGGTCAGGGACCCAAACCAAGGTCCCTCTTCCCAGTGCCTACCATTTGTGCCAATTGAAGGAGACTGAGTTCAGTAAAGCAGAGCGTAAACTTTATCCTTTGATCAAGGAATGGAGAAGAGAGAGTTCAGGCTTTTACAGCACCTTCTCCCTGACTGGGAGGAGACTTCTGTATTTATAGGCTGTGGCCTGGAGTGATTAAATTCTCTTAGGTGTGCATAGTTACTCTTCTGATGCACTCAGCCCTTTTGCACATGATGCCCCACTACCATCTTATTTTTTTGCACTCCACACCTTGATCTTGGCAGTCGGGAATTCTTTTCAATTCCTGTAAGCAAGCATAGCTCATGACATAGTTTAGGTATTAAGAAATGTTAGGTTCTTTTGGATGATAGCCCAGTGACATGTCTATGGTGTCTTGGTTATCAGAATGGTTATCAGATATTTTGAGAGAAAGAGACCATATTCACATAATTTTATTACACTATATTATTATAATTGTTCTATTTTATTAATTATTGTTGTTAATCTCTTACTGTGTCTAATTTATAAATGAAATTATCATTGGTATGTATGTGTAGAAAAAGATGCTGTATGTATAAGGTTTGGTACTATCAGGCACCCACTCAGGGTCTTGTAACATATTCCCAAAGGATAAGTGTGAATGGCTGTAAACAAATGAATAGAACACAGGTAGTACCATTGTCTTGGCAAAACAAAATCCTTGTTCTTATGGTGTTACTTTCTGGTCAATACAAAAATAGACAAAATGCTTGGTGGGGATAAATATGAAGAAAAACAAAGCTGTGTAAAACCCTAGAAGGGTGCTATTTTAGATAAGGTGATTAACCTATAAAACAAGAACTTTATCTTCTAAGCTATTGTTAATTGTGATTTATGATAATCCTCTAACCTTGTAAATCTTGACAAACATAAAGGTTTTGCATTTTATGTGGGTAATCAAATAATTTGGCAGCACTCAGTTCTTATTTCTTTACTCTGAAATTGGCAGGAAAACACTATAGAGAAATCTGTCATTTAAGATAGTGAACAGATCCAGCATGATCAATTTATCTTACTTTAGGTCTTCACCCAATTTGGTTAGCTAGCAAATAGGTTCTCTGTTTAGCTCCCTCAGTGATATTGTTTTTCCCCTAGAGAGCCTGTAATTTTCAGCAAAGATAAGGGATTCACAACACAGTACCCAAATAAACAAAATACCTTTTTAAGCCCATGTGATTTGTTTCAAGATTCTTGTTAACTAAAGCTTATTCTCTTCTTAAGGGAAGAAAAAATTTTGATTTCATATTATCTTTTCTAAGTATGGGGCTTGTATTGTTGTTTTCACAAATATCAAAAAAAA